AGAACTCACACTGCGGTCGGCCATGTGGGAGTCCAGTGCCCTTAGCAGCCACATCACCTGCTGGTCCCAGATTTTTCTCACTTCTATGTGGTTTTTGCCTCCCAGCCTTTGCATATGATTTTCTCTCTATCTTGCAGGCTCTCATCTATGTCCCTGCCTAACTCCTACTCAACATTCAGGTCTTGGTTTAAATACCATTTTCTCCTGTCATTACTGAGACTGTAGTAGAAGCCCTTGCCATACACTCCCATAGTATGGTACTCTGTCCTAACCTAAATCCTAACCTTCCTGTGACTGCTTATTTACACATCTGTACTACCTACTAAATTCCTTGTGTGTTGAGATCACTCTTGTTCATAAGTATGTCACAAGGGTCTAATATTATCTAGCACATACATACAACTATTTGTGAATATTCACTGACAGAAGAAAGATAGATAATAAAGTGTAAGCCCACCATTGCACTCCAAATTTTTCACCTCCAAAATTCTCACATCTTGGAGTTTGTGTGCATATGTGTGTGTTGGGCGTTGGGGTAGTTTACCTGAGAACTAATGGCATACTTCAGGTAGGACAGGATGAGAGGATTGGGGGAAGGTCCAATCATGGCCTGCTCCAGCAGTGCTTCTGGAAGGGGAATAACAAAGTAAGACCGAGTAGTTACAACTTTTCTAAGTTTCCAGGTTTATCCCTCCCCATCTTTCAGTCCCACTTCAATTGAGACCTGCCAGGTTGAGAATGTCCCAGGTAGCTCCTTTGGGAAAGAATTTCTTCATGTTGATTGCCCACTGGTAATCGCTCCATCGCTCCTTCCAGGCTTGCAAAATAGCCTGCTTCAGGTTCACCACTTTCATGACTTGTCTCTGAGGAGGCGGTGCCGGCGGCAGGCAGCTCAGAGGCGAGAGAAATGGAACTAAAGAAGAGGAGATGAGCTTCTGAGGAAAAGAACGGGGGAAGGCAGCGGTCAATAAAATGGAGACAACGCGGGGAAAGTTAAACAGGCAGACCAAGAGGAAGAGAGAAAGGTAGAGATCCTATCAGGCTGTTCCCCTCTAAACCACTCTTCCTTGAATTGGGGTACAAAAAAGGTGCCAAGGGGGGCAATCAAAATAAAGACCGCGCAGTGCTGCCACGGGGTTAAGCCATCTCCAGTAGCCTAATTACGCCCTTAGCTCTGGCTGCGTCCCTCAGTCACTACCATCCCAAGTCCAGATATTTCCCCTCATCTCCTCCACCATCCCCAACGCTCAAATTGTAACTCCCTATTTCCTTTTCATTCACCACCTCCCCAAATTTGAGCCTACCGCACAGCCCGGTTCTAGAGCCCAGCCATCGCCATTTTGGTACTTATCAAGGAGCTCATTTCCTATTGGCTGGGAGTAACAAACACGCGCCAATAGAAATCAGGCTGTAGTTAGGTCCCGCCGTGATGCCTTCTGGGAACTGTAGTTCTTTGCATTTGGACTACATTGGTCTAGCTGGAGAGGAAGCTAAGGGACTAATCAAACGGCCGACTCTCTTTCTCTCCTTTGAGGGAGGACATCCAGGAGGCGGAGGCACCACAGACTCAGAGGCTAAGGGAAGCTCGAAAAGCCGCGCGCGACCGGGCGTCGCCCAATGACGTCACTGATGACCGGACTTCTTAATCACAGTCAGGCACCCTTTCCTTACCCTCCCATTAATAGGCATAGCAAGGGCGTGCTGTTTAGCAAGAAGGTCTTCCTTTCTTCTGGCCTTTTTATTTATTTTATTTTATTTTACTTATTTATTTTGGTCTGAAGTCCCTGGAGCTACCTGAGTGCTCATTTCTTTTTTTTTTTTAGATTTATTTTAATTTTATTCATTCATTCATTCCTTTTTTTTTACCTTGATGAGAGAGACAGACAGACAGAGAGGGAAAGTCAGAAAGCAAGCCATCAGGGAACCAGCAGTTAGCGTAATGGCTATGTCGCTGGACTCCCACGTAGTCGAACACGGTTCGCGTCCCGTTCGCGTCCCGGACCCGGTGGCTTAAACCTCACGCCGGGCGCCTGTGCGCGCATCCCAAGAGGAGAATGGAGGAGAAGGGATTGCGGTGTGACCATCCCCCCTTGGGGGTGATTTCTCGCTTTCTGTGCTTTCTGTCTCTAGTTCTGTCTGTCTGGCGCGCCGTATAGCGAAAACATCTCCAAAAAAAGAAAGAAAGCCAGCCAGCCAGCCATCAGGTCCAGGACTTGAACCATGGTCAGCCAGCGGGAATGTCCAGTGCCTTAACCACCATGTCACCTGCTGGGTCCCTGAGGGCTCATTTCCATACTTGTATTCTAAAGAAGAGGCACTGAGGCACAATTAGTGCAACACATCACCCCTTTACCCCAAAATCTCACAGAATCTCCTGGTTCTGCGTAATTGCTTGAATATAGGCTGAAGTAAGAAGGAAAGCAAAGAAACTGAGGTTAAGTTTATCAAAGGCAAGAACAGTCTGAGAAAGAGTCATAGCCCAGAGGACTCTGAAGAGACATGGTGACTAAATCTAAGGTGGGATTCTGGATGGGATCCTGGAATAGAAAAAGATCATTAGGTAAAATCTAAGGAACTCTGAACAACTCTGAACAGAGCATGAACTTTAGTCAATAACAGTGTGTCAATATTGGTTCTTTAATTGTTACAAATATACTACATTAATGTTAATATATTAACAAAAGGGGAAATTAACCACAGGGTATATGGAACTATATGCTATATCTGATTTTTTTTCTGTAAATCTTTTTTTTAATTTTTAAATTATTTTAACTTTATTTTATCTTTTTAGAATTATTTAATTTTATTTTATTTATCATTATTAATATTATTTTAATTGGACTAGAGATAGAGAGAGAAAGGGAAAGTGAGAAAGCAAGCTGCCAGGTCCAGGACTTGAACCACTGTTGGTCACGTGGGAGTCTAGTGCACTTAACTACCATGTCACCTGCTGGCTCACTTTTTATTTTATTTTTAACTTATTTTTAATTGAGTCGGGGAGAGAGAGAGAAAGTAAGAAAGCAAGCCACCAGGTCCAGGACTTGAACCATGGTCAACCATGTGGGAGTTTGGCGCCCTTAACCACCACACCACCTGCCAGGCCCTCTATAAATCTGTTTGGTTCATTTGTTTTGTTTTGTTTTGTTTTGTTTTTAGTTTTTACCACAGGGTGTGTACACTTGCCAGAGAAAGACAAAGAGACAGAAAGTGGGAAATCATCCCCCACCCCGGGAGGATGACCATGTTGCAATCCCTTCTCTTCGTTCTCCTCTCTGGATTTTGGACACACACACACACACACACACACACTCAATGTCGTTTTCAAGCTGCCAGGTCCCAGACTGGAGTCACAATTGGCCATGTGGGAGTCCAGTGCCTTAAACTCCACACCACCTGCTGATCCCTGTAAGTCTGTTTTTTTGTTTTTGTTTTTTGGGGTTTTTTTTTGGGGGGGTTGTGTTTTGTTTGTTTGTTTTTAAGAATTGTTTAATTTTATTTATTCATTTATTCTCTTTTTTTGGAGAGGTTTTTGCTTTAGGGAGCGTTTGTTCGCCGGAAAGATGCAGAGAGACAGAGAGACAGAAAGCAAGAAATCATCCACCCAGGGGGATGGCCACACCACAATATCTTCTCCTTCATTCTCCTCTCAGGATCTTGGGCA